GCAATAACTATCTCGTGGCCACGCATTATTTTTTTTAAAAATCCAATGTCACCAGGGGGGCTCCGTATATTATATCCTGACAGTAGTACATGAGAAAAAATCTGGTTCCTCTGGCTCCTCCTAGAGCTCCTAATGGGATTTGCAAGAATCCACTGGTGCTGAACAGAAACAACCAATCAGAGCCGAGAAAGATAGGAAGACTCTTTGGTTTGAAAGTTTCTGTCCGGATATAGTGAAAATATCAACTAATGTGGCAAAAAGATATTTTTATAAAAGTTAGTTAACATATATATCAATACCAATATGATACTGATCCATCCCCATGAAAACTAAAGGTCTAACTGTCATATTTCAGCTAACTGCCTCTGTGTGACTGAACACTCACCTGGAGCAAATGCAAATAGGGCGAAGGATTCTCCGGACGATGCGATGGAGGTAACGAGGGCTCGCCGCCTGGAAAAGTACTGGGCTAGGATGGTGACGGTGGGAAGGAAGGTGAGGCAGTAGCCGAGGCCTGTAAACAAAGAGGGGAAAAGGGGACATGACAGCCACTGGCCCGCATGGTAGGAACACTGCATGGCTAGGAGGGTGGGTCAAGATCAAGGTGTCAGGTGACTCCTTTGGGCTGTGGGAGATGAGTCAGCTTTGCTACAGCTGCTGCTGAAAGACAAAAGGCATGTAAAAACAAAAAAGAGAGACGGGGAGAGAAGAGAAGGGGTTGTCAAGTTAACTGGGGTCCATTTCAGAGGCAGTCATGGTACGGTGGGAGAGCTAGCAGTGCTTTCTGTCCAAGAGAAAAAGCTGTTAATGTGCTCTGATACACCAATTTGTTTATCTTCCAATCTGTTACTTTCATTAAGTCAATTTATTCCCCCCTCCTCAGCCTCCTTCTCCATCAATCCTCATCTGAAAGGGAACTTAGTGGGTTTTTTGGGGGGTATTTTGCGTCTTTAGTTTTTCCTGCTCTGCTCGGCCAGTCGTTCCTAGAAAGTTAAGATAGTGAAGCAGACCTCACTGCATGTTGCTGAGAAGAGGCTGATCACCCTATCAGCTCTCAGTCATTGGACAGTTCTGGAAGAAATAGATTGATTCAGCTTTTGTTGCTCACACTGCTAGAAGTCCCTTTAGTTCTTTCATTACAGGCTTTTAAACAGGACAAATGGACAGTCATTCTGTAAATGGTCTATTACAATGCCACACAAAGACACACAGACAGACAGACATGGGGAGAATGAGCTGATGGCTGCGTTGGTGTGAGTGTGATACAAACCTGAGACAATGCCGATGGTGATGTACATCTCGTTGATGGAGTTGGTGAAGGCGGAGGTGATGGTTCCCAGACTGATAAGGAAGCCTCCCATCACCACCACCGGGCGATAGCCGAAGCGATTGGTCAGCATGGTGGACAGGGGGGCTGGGGTTGTGGTCAAAAACACTACAGTCATTTCATCACAGTCACATATCAGTTACATAATAACTCATATGGTCTCTGAACTGATCAGAGTGATGGTGTGCAGTTATTATTAGTTACCGGTACTCAATGTTATCAGGTTACTGTACAACTGCAATGATTAGCTGTCAACTACTAAATTAATCACCAACTATTTTGATAATCAATTAGTCATTTTAAGTCATTTCTTTCTTTTCTACAAAAGTCCAAGTTCAGATGTGCTTTCTTTAGTCTTCTATGGCAGTAAACTGAATATCTTTGGGTTGTGAACAAAACAAGACATTTGAGGACTTCACTTTGGGATTTAGGAAACACTGATCAACATTTTCTGCCATTTTATGGACCAAACAACTAATCGATTAATCAAGAAAATGATCGACAGATTATTGTAGGTTGTAGATTACAGAAATCTGTGCTGTATTATGTTATTTACACTTATACATATGCATGAGTGATAATACTAATGAATGCAAATATGTTTGTAACGTTTCTGCTAGTATTGGATGTTTCCTGGCCCATGTGGGTGCTACTAAAAAAGTCCAAGGTAGGAGACAGTAACTGACCAGTGAAGGTAAAGATGAAAACACAGATGGAGATGACCCATGACACTCTGCTGTTGCTCTCCCCAAACTCTTCCATCAGATCCTGGAGGAACACACCCAGGCTCTTGAGGGTCCCATAAGTGCACACTTCCACCAAGAAGAAGGCCCCGGCCACAGCCCAGCCCCAGCCGCCATCAGGGACCTCTGGGTAAACGTTTGGGCCTAAGCAACGCTGGGAATTGGGCAGCTTCATGTCTACAGCAGGCCCCCTGGAGGTAGAGACAGAGATTACATCAATGAGCTAGTTCTGAAGCTGAGTTTTGTTGATGTCTACTGCTGCACTAAGAGTGGCAGGGTCAGTGAGCATTCATTTTGCCATTCAATTCTTTTTCCTTGGTTTTCCACTTCATATATCATATCATATATTTATTTGATACATTATCATAAAAAGATAGATCTGTATATATGCTGAAGGTCAAGATGAGGCAAATCACCATCTATTAACACCTGGGATGCTAGAGAAATGGAAAAGAAAAGTTGAGAAACAGAGAAGAAGAATAGAAACTGAAATAAATGGGTCACACAAATCAGGTTCCTCTGGCTCCTCCTAGTGCTCCTGATGGGATTTGAAAGAAAACAACCAATCAGAGGCTTGAAGACAGTTGATTGTTGACACCCTGGGAATGTGACTCAACAATCAACTGTCTTTCTTGGCTCTGATTGGTTGTTTTTTATTGCAA